AGTTAGAAGATTGTAGAATCAAATAGTATTCTTGATGGGTAGATGTTTAGTAAATACAATTAGAAGATTGTAACAAGTAATGTATTTATAATCACATAAGTGATCATAAGTGTTGGGATGGGTAAGAAACAGCTGTATGTACAATGACATAATCATATTGCTTGGTTGAGAGTAGAAATAATTAGCTATTCATTCACTGGATCATAACAATGGCCTAAGAGTAGAAATAAGTGGATTTATAACCACGGGATTACATTATTGAGTGTAGAAATAAATGGATACACTATCTCAGGGTCATAGTTCTGTTTTGAAGGTAGAAATTGTAGTCCTAGTGCAGTATCCCACAATTTTTAGACTACTGGCATCAACTACCAATCTCATTGCACATATTTGAGTGACAAAACCCCATCTGATACTAACTTGTAAAAGTCTCTGTACCACCCCTTGAAATGAGTATAATCTCATCCAATAAGGCAAGATACAGAAACAGGGTCAAACAGATATAAGCCTCACACAACAATTATTGTGGTACATAACCTTCTCTCTAAGCAATAGGATTAGTACAAGCTTACAATTTTTCTACACATGGTTTACAAGGATGTCATAACTACATGCAAAACACCTACAGAAAAGAGTACACTCATAGATAATAGTACACAATGTATTTCAACCTATAGGCTTGCACACCAGCTGACGTTTAACTTGTTTTAATATTTTTAATCATTAGGAGAGACTAGAGATAAGTCACCTGGAAGGACATAGACAGATCAGTAGTCTTGAACACGAACTGTCAACTCTTAAAGCTGAGAAAGAAGAGTTTCTCAAGTATATCCGAGAACTTGAGCAATCTAACGATGACCTGGAACGAGGGAAACGGTAGATATTAATCTTAGTGCTGTTATGTTAAAAATCATGTTTTTATGTTTGCAATTGGTTGTTTAGTAAGTTACTTTATAAAAACAGTGATGAAATGTTTATTTTACCATAAAAAGTGTGTGGAAAGAATAAGTGAAGATGAAAAAGATTTTATTTTGACTTTTTAGAATCTTTTATCAGAAACTAATTCTAGTTGCTAGATGAAGACGCATCCCTGACTTTCGCATCTTGATGTATTGAGACATGAAGAAACTTCCCTGACTTTCACATCTTGATGTATTGAGACATGAAGAAACTTCCCTGACTTTCGCATCTTGATGTATTGAGACATGAAGAAACTTCCCTGACTTTCGCATCTTGATGTATTGAGACATGAAGAAACTTCCCTGACTTTCACATCTTGATGTATTGAGACATGAAGAAACTTCCCTGACTTTCACATCTTGATGTATTGTTACACGGAGAAACTGACTGTGACCTTCACATCCTGATGTATTGTGACATGAAGAAACTGGCTGTGACCTTCACATCCTGATGGATTATGACATGGAGAAACTGACTGTGACCTCCACATCCTGATGGATTATGACATGCAGAAACTGACTGTGACCTTCACATCCTGATGGATTATGACATGGAGAAACTGACTGTGACCTCCACATCCTGATGGATTATGACATGGAGAAACTGACTGTGACCTTCACATCCTGATGGATTATGACATGGAGAAACTGACTGTGACCTTCACATCCTGATGGATT